ATTACAGGTGTAGAAAAAGACCCCCCTGGGCGTATGCCCAACCATGACCTCTATTGTATCAAAATTGGGGGGATGGACGTTTGCCCGGGCATGGGCTCTTACTGGGATAAATACGGTATATCTTTGAATGTACATATGTACATGTATCTTTTTTTCTGGTTACCTTCCTGTTATTATATTCCTCTACATTATATTAGTCCTGGAATGCAAGTCAAGTGTAGGTGCTTACAAGATTGTGCCTGATTGGTCACCCAATTCTAACAGACCAATCAGAGAGCAGCTTGTTTGACTATCAAATTCTTGTTTCGACTCAACTGGAAAATTTTGCTCGTTAACCATTTACATTTATTCCAACATCACAAAGATTTTGGCAAACGCCCATTCGTCCGCGGCAAGTATCCGTCAATACAGTGTGTGCAGGGAAAATGTATATCTGTCATTTATTGTTTGGGAATAAACATTCAGATTAGCAGTGTACTGTATTTATCAACAATTCAACTTGGCCAAATGACCATCGACAGACTTGCCCATGAAACAGGAAGATAACCAGGCTAATATATCCTTGATTAAAATACTGTGTCCTCAGTCCAACCACAGTCTATTTTTTTTATTTCAGTGATGAATTGAAGCGTCACTATAATTTGCGTCAGTATTGGCTAGAGGTCAACATAGATGACTTAAGTAGTTTTGATGAAGAGTTGGCTGACAAACTAAAAAAGCAGCCATCTGATCATATACCATTGGTGAGTGTTTTTACTCATTTAGTGCAATTAGGGTTTTAATGAAGTCCCTGTAGCTGCAACACAACCCTTCGCCTCTCAATAAATTGAATTCACATCACTCTATTTCACTTCTAAACAATTACAGCTATTCTTCCAATAAAGATAAGTGGACTAACATTGCTCACAATGTAACCATTGCTTCTTATAGAAGACTATGTAGTCTAGCTATTTTGTTAGCGAAACAGTGTCTCGTACTGCAATATCGCCATTCCATGCTTTCTTGCAGTCACAGGAAGACAGTGTAGGAGACTTGAATCAAAGACATTGATGAATGTTTTCAAACAGTGTTGAAATAAATTGTAATAAATCATTAAATGGCTTTCATAACAGATGGTTGAATTACTACAGAAAAACAAAAAAAATATTGTGACTAACAACAAGAGTCCATTTAAATATCACTAGAACAGAGATAATTCACCTTGTAAATTTCTTCACTAATCCAGTTTGAGCAGGCTGCAAAAGAGGTTGCTGATGAAGTAACGAGACCAAGACCCTTAGGAGAAGAAGAAATGGAAGAGATCCAAGTGTTATTGTCTTCTGGAGCTCACCCTTCTCATGTCAGAGATCTAAAAGTAAGCATTTATTTAAATAATAATAAAGATTTTCTTCTGCCCTTTATGCATATTTTCTGTATTTGGTCAATGTACAGCTCTTTAGTTGATTCACTGCTGACTGCATGTTACTACACAAAAAGTAACATGCTGCTACTTGATATGTGTCAGCACCCAGTCAATTTTGTTTTTAACTAGATGCTTGTGACAGCAATTACTGTTGAACAATTTAACTTGCTCAAGTCATTCATAGATTGCAATTACTCAGTTTTGTTATTGAATATTTTCTTTGTAGTCTGAGCAGATGTCAAAGTTAGTGAAGATCCCAGGTATTGTAATATCGGCATCAGCCGTCAGAGCTAAAGCTACGTCAATATCTATCCAGTGCAGAAGTTGTCGAGCATTTGTGAATAATATTCCAGTGAAACCTGGTCTTGAGGGTTATTTACTGCCGAGAAAATGCAACACGTGAGTCAACAGCTATAAATTGTACAGCTCTTTGCTTCTGGTACTCGTGTTTGAGCCTACTTTATTTACTCTGTCAGAAGTATATTTGAACCAAAGACTGAATTTGTCACAAATACACGTAATTTATATTTCAACCTTTCTTAATATTTAAATTTGCTCTTGCTAGTTTAACACTGGTGAAAATGTGTTCAAATTGAGGCACACTTTGAATTCATTTGCATTCTAAATTACTATACTTCTTTGATGAACCTCATTATGGAAACCGTGATGGTTTGTATTGAATGAAAGAACACTGAGATGCTGCTGTGTAATCCCAGCCTCCTTGCTAAAACTAAAACTACCAAAAACAGTTATTTTATAACATTCATTATGTTTCCTAATCCCTTCACAGAGATCAAGCGGGTCGTCCCAAATGCCCCATTGATCCATTCTTTATTGTACCAGATAAGTGCCAGTGTGTTGATTTTCAAATTCTGAAATTACAAGAATGTCCGGAAGCTGTGCCAAATGGAGAAATGCCAAGACATATGCAGCTGTATTGCGACAGGTGAGCAAGTGATACTGCTCTTAAACAAGTGTGAAATTCAATGAATCAAAATGGGGAACTTTGAATTTGTAAATCTAGTATACTTTCCACCAATGCTATTATTTTTACAATAAATAATATCTACTATACAGGTACCTTTGTGATAAGATTGTACCCGGCAACAGAGTGACAGTCATGGGTATTTACAGTATCAAAAAAGCAGGCAAACCATCACGGGTAAGAGGGACATTTGACATTTCTCTGTATGAACAATTGACACTAATTTTCAATGAATTTTGTTGAAACAGTTGTAAGAGACAGAATTGTTCATGTATGACATGAATTGACAATTAATTTCCTAGCAGTCAATGGTGCTGTTCTGAGGAGACGAAATAAGCTGTTGTCACAAGGCCTTTTATTTGAGAACATTGTTAAAATATGTGTGTCGACAGAATACGCCGTTGTGGTGCGTTTTTGACACCGTCGTAAAAGGGGTGGACCAGATCCTAAACGCCGTTGTCACACTGGCTTTTACACAATGGAATGTGTCGTGTGAACACAATACGACGGCCAAACACCCTCTATCGCAGACTTATTTTGACATTACTTGCTTGACATTACACAAGATTGCATCAAAGGTCACAAGTTGAATGTCGAACTGGTCAGACAAAGAAACTAGATCACTTATATCTGTTTGGAAAGAATCCTATTTCTTCGCACCATTTATTTCCGCGTTGTCGAGTCCAAATTGCTAGGGTTGCTGGGTCTATTGTTGCGTTATTCATACACTCGAATAGCATGAACATGAACCAATTATTTGTTGCTCTTTGAATTCTTGATTAATCGATCGTTGTTGCCTTCTTCTCGAGCGTAGAAACAAAGCAAATGCTTTTACCATAGGGGACCCCATGTTGTTGATTGACCTTTACATTTGTTTTTTAGCTCCGCTGTCGACTTTGTCGAGCGGAGCTTATCATATGAGTGATTGTCCGTCGTCGTCGTCCGTGTCAATGTTTTACTTTTTCGACTTCTTCTTGAAAACTACAAGCCTGAATGCTTTGATACTTGGTGTATATGTACCTTGGGTAGACCTCTCTCAGATTTGTTCATTTCATGATGATATCTTCAATTCTCTAATTTTGGTGAATATTTTTGTCATTTTTAGTAAAAAGTGATATTTTCGACTTCTTGTTAAAAACCGCAAGTCCAATTGCTTTGATATTACATATATAGGTACTACATGTGGACCTCTCTCAGATTTGTTCATTTTGTAATGATATCTTTAATTCTCTGATTTTGGTGAATATTTTTGTAAATTTTGGTAAAAAGTGATATTTTCAACTTCTTGTTAAAAAACTGCAAGTCCAATTGCTTTGATATTACATATATAGGTACTGCATGTGGACCTCTCTCAGATATGTTCATTTTGTAATGATATCTTTAATTCTCTAATTTTGGTGAATATTTTTGTCATTTTTGGTAAAAAGTGATATTTTCGACTTCTTGTTAAAAACCGCAAGTCCAATTGCTTTGATATTACATATATAGGTACTACATGTGGACCTCTCTCAGATTTGTTCATTTTGTAATGATATCTTCAATTCTCTAATTTTGGTGAATATTTTTGTAATTTTTGGTAAAAAGTGATATTTTCGACTTCTTGTTAAAAACCACAATCATTTATAGTGAAAAATGATATTTTTGAATTCTTGTTGAAAACAGCAAGTCCCCCATTGCATTGATACTATGCATATTGTTCATTTTCTAATGATATCTTTTGTTCTTTAATTGAAATGTGCAGTGCTAAGAGGCTTCTTGTTCAGTGTTTGTACATTAATTAACAGCTCATAGTTGAAACAAAATTTATGCCACACTGACTTAATTTCAAAGATGACATCCTCTGATGACCCCAAAACTGATGCGAAAGAGCGAAAAAAAAAAATCCTGCCAAAAAAAAAGCTGTTATTACAAATTGAACCACAGTGTATCAAAAAAAAACAAGTCTTTATTTGTAGGAGGCACATGTTGATGTACACATTTCGTACTGTATTACTGTCACAGGTATCATCATCTTTGATTTTGAAAATGCAAGAGGATAAGGCAGATGTTAGCTTTGCCAAACTCATACACATCAACTCAATAATAAAGAAAAACTTACTGTGTTGTATTGAAAAAAAAAATTAATTAAAAATGAACAATAAGTTTGTCAACAGCAACCTGGAAATTAACTTCTTTGACATTCAAACTACAGCTTTTAAAGTGACACTTCAGATAGACTAAGTGTAGACACAAATGCTCTAGAACTACTTCAACTATGTAACAAATTATAAGAGGCTCGATATTGAAAAAAAAACGAGAGTCAACAAAAATTTGGATGCAGAAAATTATCTACATGTATCTTGATGAAAATTTGTCATATGATCAAAATATTACTGACTGTGTGCAAGCAAATTATCAGAAAATGAAAAAAAAAATAAGAAGAAACTTTTCTTCACCCTGAAAGGGGACTTCGGCCGACGAGCTTCCGCTGCTTTCGTTGCAGTTTTGTCGACTTCAATGCGGACAAAGCAACTAAACTTACTTGTCGCCTGACCAACTTTTAGGCCACCATACACCTCCACTCCTCTCCCATTTCTCTCATCGTTGCGGAAGAAACGCGGGACAGCCACTCTGCACAATATGTCCTTAAAGTTGTCTGGGCGAAACACGCTTGCCGCTATCAATCTCTCGTATAGCTTTGTAAGCGTCACATCTCCCTGGCCAAAGTCAATTGCATACCAGTCTACAACAATCCCTCAGTTTTACCTCTGAACTTTTATGCTCGCGTATTTTGGTGGTGTGGTCGCCATGCCATGTTGGATCATTTATGACAAAATTGGCATGTTTTGAGGCAATCTCCTTCATGGGTCTTTGCGCTTTACGTAACGTGCATCTAACTGTGCGGAGTTTGGTTTTGAGGTAGTCCAAAGCGAGTTTTACTACAAGTCGGTGCTTTGCGACAATACGAGTCGGCAAGTTCCGGACAAAAAAATGATCTGTGGAGACTCGTCGTCAGAGATTTTTTTTTTTTTTTTTTTTTTTTTGAGAACAGGCAAAAACTAATGCGCGTACGGATGTCATCCATAAAATTAAGTCTGTGTGTTATTACCCATTCATGCTAGCCGCAAGAAACATCATACTCTTGAATAGGTGTCAGTGACTACAAAAACCTAAATTAGAGATTTTATGGTATGTGCATCATTTGTGTTATTGAGGTGACACCGTATTTATTGGCTGAACGATTTGTTCTATTGCTCATTTTGTGTTCACCGGCAAGACTAAATTTTCAGGAGCAGATGTACATTTTGTGATTATCATATCTAAATTGGTTGTATGTCTCGTTTCTTGGATTCATATTGTCAGAATGCACGCGAGAAGGTTGCAGTTGGTATTCGTAGTCCTTACCTTAGAGTGGCTGGAATTCAAGTTGACACTGAAGGGTCTGGAAGAAGCTCAAGTGCCCCCATCACACCACAGGAAGAGGAAGAGTTCAGACGACTTTCAGGATCACAGAATGTTTATGAAACGATAGCCAAGAGTATAGCGCCCTCTATATATGGTAGTGTAGGTAAGTGAATAACCTTGACAACCAATGCTGGTGGTTCTTTGAATGCTACTAAAGATAACAAAGATACAGCTGATTATTGCCGTTTTGTTTCATTTCCCTGACTTAGATCAATTTTTAATGATTGATCGATTCTTCAGGCCAATCATGGCTTTGCATTTGCTAGTTTTATACTGATATAACAAATACATGTGTACTGTGTCAAAACACAAATGTATTAGCATTAAAAAAAAAAACTTTTTAACAGATACCAAAAAAATACTTGCTTAATTGTTGTGTGCTGTTACATCTTGAGAAAAAAAGCTATTGACTTAGAGGCCAGGATAAGTGTGTAGTTTGCTGATATGTTCAGGACTTGACAGTGTGTGTATATATCTTGTTCATTTTTGTAGACATAAAGAAAGCTATAGCATGTTTATTGTTTGGTGGTTCTCGTAAGCGTTTACCGGATGGTTTGACAAGAAGAGGTGATATAAATGTACTATTGCTTGGTGATCCAGGTACAGCAAAAAGTCAGCTCTTGAAATTTGTTGAAAATGTGTCTCCAATTGGGGTGAGTACTGACATTGACAATGCAGATTTCTTGATCAACTCGTGAATTTTAGATTCACTTCACTGGCTATAAATTATTAAAACTTATGAACATGTGTTCCGACATCACTGCTTGTTAGGGATGACTCTGCCGATGCGTACTATGGTATTGTTGGAAGCCGGCAACTGAAGTTAGTTGCACAATACCCATAATATGAGGTATCTTCATCTGATTTTAATTGTAATTACTTTCAGGTGTATACATCTGGTAAAGGTAGCAGTGCTGCTGGTTTGACTGCTTCTGTTATAAGAGACCCTGCTTCAGTAAGTTCAGTAAATCTGTCAATCGTTTTGTTTACCTCAGCAGAAGAGATGTCTATTGTAATAGTGCTGTTAGTGGCCCTCTTTATTGGTCAAAATCTGTGCAGATGTCATAATATGTTCACAAGACTTTGGTTATTTTCATTTTTATTTATCGTGCCAGACCCATGTACATTTACATTTTATTGACTAGTAAGGAGTTGAATGCCTTCCACCAATAAAGCAATATTTGTACAAGCCTCGGATTTGATTGAAAATACTACCATATATAATATTTTTCTAAATTATTAAGCAGTGTTTCTTCAGTGATGGTTGACAGAAAGAAAATCTGTAATCTGGTTATTTAATGATGCACGCCAAATCATATGTGTTTATAGATCTCAAAATTTGTTTTCATACATCATGTACATACTTCGTCTATTATGGAATGCATAGGCATTTCCTGTGGTGATAATCTTCTGTATTCCTTATGATCTCTATTTAAAACTGGTTGTTTCATTTTCAGCGTAATTTTGTGATGGAGGGTGGTGCCATGGTACTTGCTGATGGTGGAGTAGTGTGCATCGATGAGTTTGATAAGATGCGTGAGGATGACAGGGTAGCTATTCATGAAGCTATGGAACAACAGACTATATCTATTGCGAAAGCTGGTATTACTACCACATTGAATTCTCGTACCTCAGTGTTGGCTGCTGCAAACTCTGTGTTTGGTAGATGGGATGACACAAAGGGTGACGAAAACATTGACTTCATGCCGACTATATTGTCTCGATTTGATATGATATTTGTGGTGAAGGATGAGCATGATGAAGCTAAGGACAGTGTGAGTATCATTTCGTTAACCAGCTTGCCTACAAAACGGGTATATTCAAAATGAAAAATAATAGCTTATACTAGCAGAGTAAAAATAGGATTCAATAATACATTATTTTTTTAATTACAAAGATTTAATCGTCAGCCAAGGTTTATTTGTTCAGCCACAACCTCACTGTTATAAGTTGGCAGAATTCTCATTATAAACCTGTTTCCATGGGTAACTGAGCCATGTGTTTTTGTCAGTTGAGCTACAACGTGATACAAAACTGTAATATGTGTTGGTTTAAATTTGAAATGAATGAGAATTGTTTTACAAGATTGCTTATTAATGGATCCAGGACCTTGGTGCACCCAGCATGTTAACTGTCGGCAAATACAGCTTTTCCTAACATGATCACCGACAGGTTTGTAAAGGCAGCCATGGCTTCAGAAAAACCATGCAAATCAGTCGATAAGGTTTAATTTACGGGTACTTACAACTATTATTGATTTCAGAGGTTGGCCAAGCACGTGATGAATGTCCACATGAATGCATTACAAACTACCTCGGCCAATGAAGGTGAACTGGATCTGAATTTCCTTAAGAAGTACATCGCATATTGCAGAAGGTAATGCTTGAGTTTTAAAACCAGACGCTTTTACTTTGCCACACAATGTTCACATTGTATACCTAGCAGCATTTTATATACATGTGTCTTTTAAAGGTGAAATTACAAAACCAACTGTAGTCTTCCATGTAGTTGTAACTGTCGGCCAACCTTTTGTAACTTGACTACGGCTAATTGTGTAATTTCACATTTAGAGACATATTCATGAAAGGTGATGTAGTAAGAAAATAAATGTTCTGATCATGGACTAATTAATTGAAATTAATTTGACTCTCTGTTCATATTGGTAGTAAATGCGGACCAAGGATTTCAGAAGCTGCTGCTGAAAAGTTGAAAAATCGATATGTGCTGATGCGTAGTGGATCCCGAGAACATGAACGAGAAACCGACAAGAAGACAAGCATCCCTATAACTGTCAGGTATTTAATACAGGGCTTGATACTTAAAGATCGTTACATAGTGCCGGACAAGTAAACCTGTCGTTCAGACAACTGATTTTTTTACTCGCTTGCCCTTACAGATTTAGTAAATACATAGACAACTTGCGTTTTAGGAAACGCGTGTTTCTTGGGTAACATAAAGCCCTGTAACGCCAGTCACATGACTCAAATGCAACTTGGTGTGGTCATTGCAGTTTCATGTCTAATTTATATACTTTATTTATTGATTTATAATCTTAGACAATTGGAAGCTATTATAAGGATATCAGAGTCATTGGCCAAGATGCAATTATCTCCATTTGCTGGTGAAGTTCAAGTTGATGAATCTTTGCGTTTATTCCAAGTTTCAACATTGGATGCTGCTAGAACTGGAAGCCTTGCTGGTAAGACGTGCTTCTTACTTTATATCCTGGTTTTTGTATACAATATACAGTTGCCCAGAACATTTTTGGTGCGGTTCAAAATTAAATTTTATAGTTGCTAATTCAGGTGTTATCAAGTGTTTCTGAAATATTTGTTGTTACTCCAATTATCACCTAATTGTTGATTTAGTAAATGACTCTTAAACTTAATTTTCACATCAGGCTTTTTGATCACCATCAACACATAAGCTAGTGAGAGATGCAATGTCATTAATTTTGCTATGTGCTAGTAGGGAATCTGCAAATATTGACGTGTTATTAAATTAATGGGTTCTATACATTGTAAATTCAGGGGCTGAAGGTTTCACATCACACGAAGACCAAGAAGAGTTGAGTCGTATTGAAAAACAGTTGAAGAGACGCTTTGCAATTGGTTCTCAAGTATCCGAACATTGCATCATTCAAGATTTCAACAGACAGGTAGGAACTAACATTAAAAGATGTGCCTTCTCGTTAAAGAAAAAGTTGCATCTTGTACCCATTCATACAAAATGTTTCAACATGGTTACAGTGTTCAGCTCACACCGAACAGTTCCGTCTGGCACTCAAATAAAAAAAACTAGCACAAAAAGTTGCCGATTGGCACTATTGTTTACTGGAAATCTAAGCATTAATGTTGGGCGGCACATGATCATGTTGCAGACTTCCAGTGTCACGTTTTTAATTGAATTGCCATATTTTCCATCATTAAATTTCGACACCTCTATAGCGATCAGTGATTGTCTGACAATCATTACTACCAACAAAATAATATCAAGGACCAATTTAATTTCGGTATTTATTTGACTTAATTATTTACATCACAGTCAGTATGTTAATGAGCTTATGAATATTAATGAGTTAAAGAATTTTAATGAGAGCAGAACATTGTATACACTATTGAAAAGATCATTGAGAACATCATAAAAATCACCAATTGAACTTAAACATGCCGTAATTTTTCAGAGTGGAAAATAGAGTTACTTAAATACTTAAAACAACTTTTCTTTCTTTCTTTTTCAGAAATATCCCGAGAGATCTATACATAAAGTACTAAGTTTGATGATGAGACGTGGTGAAATCCAGTATCGAATGCAGCGAAAAATGCTATACAGAATTAGATAGAGGCATTGAAAATGACATCCACAAATGCATACCCTGAAAAATAACTTGACCTCTTAACTTCTCCATTTTTGAAAGAAGACAAATTGGCTGAATATTTTATTTCACTTTGTGTGACATTTTCATGAAACATTCGCAGTGAAACATGAACAAAATTAACAGTTATACGCTACTATCGGAAGTCCTAAACTTGTCTTTTGACTTGTAGGAACCCAGCAATGACAATATTTTATTCGTACTGCCAAACATACCAAAGTGCTTTATTCACTGAAAAAATCCTAATGGGCCTTTTCCCGGAATAAGCCCAAAAAATTATATCCTACAATTAATGAGGATCAAAATACAAATATCATTTAAATACTTTTATCTCTTACAGTAATAATCCTGTTTATGGAGATTTAGATTTATAGATTCTGTGATTAATACCAAGAATTTCTAAAATTTATAGAAGTCTACTATATTTATATCTGAACATAAATGAATACATAGAATTTAGAATTTTTGATGTTATTTTTGTTTTTCTATTCAAATAAACATTCTTTTGCCATTTCATTATTTATGCTTGTTGTTTACCGGTAAAATTGTAATTTGTGTTGTCTGAAATTGCTGTGATCCACTTCAATTTATTGCTCTGATTGACAGGACATTTTGTCATTTTACTGATCTGGTAGCCCACTAACGCTGGTTTTTACAAGGGTAGAACAGGGCCAGCCCTGCTGAAAATAAATCTGTGAATATTTCTCCTGCATTAAATTTAAGCAGCATGAGCCATCACCTTTCAGTGGACTGTAACTGTAAGAATTCCAATCTGGTTTTGTCTTAAATGAGTAGCTTCTTATTGACACTAGAAATGTACATCTTGGAAGTATTTAATTTCTGAAATGTTTGGGTTTTGTTTTCATGGAAATTATTGCAGCATGTGAATGTTCTACTAACTTCACATGAATACACGCATGTGGTTCACAATTTGCTTATGGATCAAAGTATGGTTTATGTCTTACAAATTTAGTGTTTTCTTTCTGCATATGAATAGGTGGTTATATATAAATAAATAAATAAATAAATAAATACAGGTATGTTTACAATTCTGTGTGCAGGAAAAATGTGCTGCACAATCCAAAGAAATAAAAGTTTCGTTAACACTGCATGTGAATAATTTCCATTTGATTACTAATTTGGTTTCAATCTCTATCTAAAGTGTGTACATTACGATCTCCATAGGAATAAATTCTATATACGCTCCAAAAGTGGTTCACCCAAATCATACACAAGTTTACCCTCAATATAAACAAATGTGAAGTTTGCAATCTCCATATTAATGTGATTTCTACTGGGATAAAATTATGTTCTTTACAATCTTCCTATGAATAAAGTGCATCACAATCCCTACTTGAATCATATGCATAAAGTGGTTAACATTCTCCATATTACTAAGTGTATGTGGTTTACAGTCTATTTGAACATAATTGTGTTATCCACACATAAATGAAAGTGTATGGTTTACAGTCATATTGATACAAATGTGTGGTTTTCATAGATGCAAGATCTGATCTCGTGGGTCGTTCTTTAGAAATCTGTCTTAGAATTGTCAATCTATGTTCAGTGCAACAGACTCCTGAATCTAATCATTTTTTTAGGTATATGTTTGAAACAGTTGTATGAAAATGTGCGTTTCCAGATATAAACCGTTCAGATCAGAATCAAGTACATTATGCATTCTAGTGTTTCAAATTCGGATACAAGTGTGTAGATTACAGTCTCCATGTGAGGTGGTCAATTAAGGCTTTTGAGTCGGCAAAACAGATTGTTATGACTTTTACAATGTTTTATTTCTTGACTGTTAAATAAACATCGACTTACAAATTGGGCGTGGTTTTTGCAAAAGTGAGCATGGGCATTTTGAAAAATATTTAGCCGAAAATGATACGTTATTTGAATTCCAATCTGGATTTTCCAGAGACATGATTGTTAGATCTTGGAGTATCAATAGATTTTTCACGGTATGGTCTTACCTGACCTAAAAACGCCTTTGGCATGGTCGATCATTCCATCTTGTGTAATAAATTAAAACTAATGAGAGTCGATTCCATTAAATGGTTCGGGTCGTATCTAAGTGATCGGGCGCAGCAGCGAATGGGTCAGTGTCAGAATAGACAGATATTACTTGTCTCTCAAAGAAATATACTATTTTTATGTTACTTAAAGGATCTTCACGTGTAAAGTATCACTATATGCCGATGATACAGCAGTTAATCTAATAATTTCTGGTGAAAGGTGTGCACATATCAAATTTTTAAGCCAAAAACTTATTTGGCTAGGTCATTTCCGAGTTTATATTTGAAGTACGTCGTGACATTGTATGGCTATTTGTACATGTACATTATTGTATTTCAGTGTTGTGCATTTTGGTATTTCCGGTGGATTTGGTATTAGGACACTACTGAAAATAAGTTGCTCTTGCGACTTTGTAAGCTGTCCTAGGTATGGACTTCGTTGTGGAGTTCCTTGGAGGAAACCTAATTGTGTTTCTATTTGCGTTGGGTTTTTGTGTCATTGTGTTTCATGCTTTTAAAAATTAAAACATCCTTAGACTCGAAATATGTTTGTGAAACAGAAAATATGTTATGGTCTTATCTTTATCTGTAATTTGGGCGTTGATAAAGTATCGACCTAAAATATATCACATTTAATTTGTTAAATTTAAAATAATCGTCGGTGTTCGTGGGAATTTTGCCGCGGCCTAAAATAGACAGAGCTTCATTGAAGTACTTATTTATGTAAAGCACAAATGGATAAACGCCTACCTTGTGTTGCCCCCAATGTAAATAACATTTAAACCGGGATATGCCATGTAGAATTATAATCGATCACTATTGGTTTATCGTGATGTCATATTAACGTCATGATATCTTAACGAATATAATTACGGGGTGGGATAGTGCCCAACCACGGTTACTAGTAAACGTGGCCGAACTTAGAGTTCCCGTTTGATCTTATAACGTGAGCGCACCGGGCTATAATACATTAGAAGCCTTGGCACAGAACTTCCAATGTGAGGGTTAATATTCAAATCAGAATGCATTGTTCCATCTTTGCTTGCTAAGGACCATTTATTCGGCCGAAGCCTCAACGTGAGCCGGATATGAATGGCCAACTTTAGCGAAACCGTGCGATTCGGACGATGGCATTTTTCCGTTGTTGAGTAAACTTCGTTACGAAGCCGGTTAGGGTTCACCGGCAGTACAATGTCTACTAGTACTTCACACCTAGCAAACATACACAAACTGGCTGGTGGCAAATTTCATCAAGATATTTCTGTATTAAAATGTTGACCAGACCTGGAAGATAGTCTTTGAGGGGAAAGTATTTGTTAAAATTTAGAAGTTGGAAATTTAGCATGTAATAACGAAATTAGAAGCCCTATAGACGTGGTCTTTACCAGGCATATTCAATGACGAAGTTACAAATTCATTGGGTACAAGTTACAGTGGCGGCGGTACAGGGTGGCGGAGGTGGCGGTCGCCCCCTCGAAAAAAATATTTGGGCGTCGCCCCGTTAAGCTGAAAGCCTTTGTGTCAACAAAATTTGCCCCTCAAAATGCTGGAAATAGCGTTTCAGAGAGTCTATATTTCAAAATTTTTAAGGGGAAGCATGCCCCGGACCCTCTAGTAAGGTCGCGTCTTCCCGCAAGGTTGGTGAGCAAATCTCGCCCCTCATGCACAATTTTAGATCATCTGGAATAATAGGAAGGAAGCAAATCTTCACTCAAAGATAAAGGATTTGAATTTGTTTCTGATTATATTTATATAATGCTGACTTAGGATGATTTGCAGGCTATACAACTGCATTTAAATGAAATGTTGGGCATCTGTAGAATAATTAAAACACTCCCAAAATAAAGGGATTTAGACAACCAGTTTACTTTGACATTGCTAAAATATCTCAGAAATCTGTGAAAGATGACAACTTAAGAAGACCAGTTAGTGAGGAATACTAAGGGGCATTTAGTTTTATCACAGGGA